TTAGTTAATGAATTTACTAACATGAACTAATCATGAACAACACTTGTGCAGCATTTATTAATCATACTTGAACAAATACTAATGCATTATTAACATTCAAGCTCATGCTTGTTAACATTAGTTAATGCACCATGAGTTAACATGAACTAACAATGAACAACTGTATTTTCATCACTTACATTTAATAACATGAATAAATACTGTAGTAAATGTATTGTTCATTGTTTGTTCACGTTAGTAAATGCATTACTTAACATTAACTAATAAACCTTATTGTAAAGTGTGACCAAAGTAGCTAATATTTAAAAATGTAAAAAAATCTCACAACTTTTACTTTATATGTCACAGTCTGATGTTTTACCTCTAATTGTGGCTCTATTCTAGAGTTGTGGCTCTGGATTTCACAAAGGGAATTTTGATCTTGGAGTTGTGAATTCTTACTCATAATATTGACTTTTTTATTGACTTCATATTAGATAATGGAGCTTTATATTACAAAACTAAAAGTATTTATCCCATAACTGCTACGTCAATTCCTTCTTAAATGTTTGTTTTATGTCTCATCCGTAATTTTTTTCTTATAATTTGACTTTTTCATTTATTTAATAGCAGTTGTGGCTTGTATATTTCATAGTTCTTATCTTGAAATCATGATTTTGTTTCTCATAATTGTAATTGTAATACACATAATGTAACTTTCAGTTTCATAATTGACAAGTTATATTACATCACATGATTTTTTGTTACCGCAATACGACGGTAATAATAGCATCGTTATATCTCAGAATGTAGCTGATCATTTAATTTACCATTTACAAAATCTCTCAAGTGTGGCTTTGCATTTAGTAATTGTGAATTTATTTGGCACAATGTGGTTCATTTCTACTATTTTTTTTGTACTATACAAACATATTTTTCCATCTAAAGATGCACATTAGATTTATGTGCAATACTGGAATATTGCATAAAATATTTGTGAATAAAGCAGAGTCCAATAAGATGAGAACAAAATCATCACTTTTTCATACCTTTTTTCTCACCCACTTCGAATGTTATTACTCCATTGAATGGGCATTATCAGTGATTATCAGCTAATAGATAAGAGCCAGTGTGGGCCTTCTGCGCCTACTAGTAGGTTCAGAATGCTGTTGTAATCCATCCACATGGTTTATCAACTATGCTAATAGAGAAGACTCCAGATCCAGACCGGTTTTTACATTACCGTGACGGTTGGGTTTAGAGTTGGGGCAGGGGTAGACAGACCTGGATTGGCTAATCTGGAGGACCGGGAGCATTTCCGGTGGGTCGTTGTTTGGCCGCGAGTGCCGGTGTCCCTAGCTGCCTGCCAGCAGTCGCACTTTTTTTTTCATTGATTTATTTATTTTACCATACCCTCCCTTGTTATATTTTTTTTTACCGCAGGTCCACTCTTTTATTTATTGTCTCACAGCATTAGAATGCAGCCCGCAGGTTGATGATGACATAATTATCATTGGACTTCCCAGCAGCAGCACCTTGCTCATCAGCAAAATCATTTGTTAAGAGATACGAGAGAGATGAAAAACCGCGCCAAGGTGGCGCTGAAAAGTTCAGAATTAAAAAAGCTGAGTATATTTGTCGTTAAAACCAGCAGCAACGAGAGTACATCCACACATGAAGGAGATGAAATGACCAGTAGATTATGGTTAAGCTATTTAGGAGCAGTGCAAAACAACTATCTGCAAACCACCGTTTATGTACCGAATGTTTTCTTGTACTGTAGCTCTTCATCAACAGCAGCCTCTAGTCCATTTTGCTGTTAACAGTGAAGAGCCAGGACCTGTAACGTTACCAAGAGAGTCATGAGCCCAACACACTAGAATGGGCAGGTAGGATTGTCACTGAATATAAGAATTTGAATTATTATTATTAATAAATATTACACTTGCTCAATGAAAAATGCCCTGAGACAATTAATGAAATCAGATGATTCGCTACACTAATAAATCTGACTGAACTCGATCAAAAAGCTGAAAATTGGGAAACCGATGAAGCCATCTTTAGAAAGTAATGCTGTGGTTAAAATGTCTGGCAGTTAACAGTGCAATACTTGTTTTATTCTTTATTTGTGTTTAAAGAGCCATAAAACCCCCCTATTTCAGCAGGGTGTGTTTTTACACCTCTAAGGCCCTATCATACACCCGGCGCAATGTGGCGCAACGCAATTGTTGTTTGCTAGTTTCAACTTGGCGCAAGAGTCGTTTTGACGTTTTGCCGCACGTTGTTTAAATAGCAAATGCATTTGAGCTCAAATGTGCACCCATAGGCGTTTTGGTCTAAAAAGGAAGGCGTTCTGCAGTGCATTGCTGGCGCATTGCTATTTTGAAAAACTATAATAAATTTTTCAATAGACCAGAACAAAGCCGGTCTATTGTCTAGCGCAGAGCACGTTATTTGTGCGCCTCGCTTACACACTGCTTAATACACACAAGATGTCGAGCAATACGCAAATATCTTTACATATATTATATATATATATAAATATTTTATATATAATATATATATATATATATATATATATATATATATATATAGGATATAATAAGGATATAAATATGAAGGATTAAAATATTACAAAACATTTTTTTCTAGCCTACATAAATTTAAAAACCATACTTTTATGCCTTCTTCATCTCGGGGGGCTTTTTCAGTCCATTCATATTAAATTGCTTTTGTATAATGTTATTATTATTAGCAGTATTATTTATTATATCCATATTTATATTTGTTTTATTAAAAACAAGCTTAGATTCGCCCACCTGCAGGTTTTAGACCATATGGGGGCACAGCATGTGTTTTAGGATATAGCTCAGGTTTTAGACAACACTTCGTTAATATTGTTCATTTATTCGATTGCTAGAAATTAGAACTGAATTTAGAAATAGTTTTGAAATGAATATTTGCGCTTAACAAACAAAATTAATTATTTATAGGCTAATTGATGTCTGTGCGTAAAGGTTTCCCTATGCAAGAGCGAAAGTGAAAGTAGATCCATTATCTCTCATTCTCACACAGTAGATGCTCTGTTTAACAGTTTTCTGTTAAAAAAAACTGTTTACTGTTTGCTTGTGAAATGTTCAGTTTTTCCATTTAGACTTACTTTACGTCCTGTAAATAGCAAATGCGCTAGGCGCGACGCAGCTGACTCTTAAAGGGTATGGGAGATGAGACTCTAATTTTTTATTCTCAAAACACACCTATAACTCATTAAGAAAATAAACTCAACCCTTTTAGACCATGCGCCATGGCGCAAAGCGGATTTTCCCGTCCTTAAATTAGCAAAAATGCGTTCTGACACGCCCTGAAAGCGTTTGCGCCCTGCGTTTTGCGCTCTGCACATGGACCGTCAAAATAGAGCCCAAGGGCTGAAAAGGAGTCCCGCTCCCTCCCTGGGGGTAGATGTTAATAAAATGCGATTAATGGAAAATTGTATAAATTATATAAATAATTCTTGTTAACTTCTGGCCGCAGCCATATGTGATCTATAGCTGAAGGCAGAGGGCCCCTACTGGCCCACATCTATCAGATGATAACCACTGATAACACCCATTCAATCAAGTTATAACAATCCAATCAGCTGTTTTTTCTTATATAATAAAATACTTGTGCTTCTTGAAGCCACAAAATTCACATGACTTTTTTGATGAAAATGCTGGAATTTATTTGGTAAATGTGTTTCCATTGTGGTTTATCTGCCTTTTTTCTTTCAGGATAAAAGGGTTATCCTTGTTATGCTCGTTTTCAAAATGTTTGCACATCTTGTCTTCTCCATTAAGCATTTTTTATTCTATATTCCAAAATGTGCATAGAAATAGGTGGATGCAGACTTGGATTAAGAATTCAGAGGCCATTGGGCACAATGTCTTGTAGACACCCTACCTGGCCGCACCCCTATAGTTGAATTAAATAATAAGATTAAAATCATATTTTTTAATAAAATTAATCTATAATGTATTGCCCGCATTTTTTAAATAAAGGATATACAGTACATATATTTCTAGTCTACAAAGATTTAACTTATTTTTAAAGCACACTTTAAAAAATATATACTTATACAACTAGTGAAAATGAATGTATTTTAATATACTTGTTCAGGTTCACTGAAGCAGTACTAAAATTTATATTTAAGGGTGTTTTTAATATATAACTACAAACTTATAGTGCATGTGATTTGGATATAACACCTCTCCAATCCAGTTCAGTTCTATGAATCTGAGTCTTCCATAATAATCATTAATGATTCCTACTTGTCTTCCTCGTGATGAAGAGTAGGCAAAATCCGATATGTAGTGGGGAAAAAAGAAGAGTGAGTTTATCAGATGCTGGATTCGAACTGGGTTCATGATCGATTGTGTCAAAACATGTTGCCATGCGCTTTATAAGCTACGCCACTCACACTGCTAATTTGCCATTCTCTTTAGTTATGCTGTCTCTGTCAATCAAACTGAGATAGGTGGGAATCACTCGACTAGCTCATTCCAAAGAGGTGCGCTATTTGCACTTAGCCTAAATAGACATTACAAAATCTGTGTCCCTCCCCCCACAACGGCCCAGAGTGCGCACTGGCCCCTGGGCCTGTTCCCATATTGCCCATGGGTTAATCTGGCCCTGGGTGGATGGAAACATACCTACAGTTACATTACCTACTGAACACAGTCAGTTGTGTCTCTTAAATCCCATTCATAAATTCTCTCATTTGGCCTCATGGGATAGTAAACTATCCATTGGATGCACAGCACAAAAAGTAGTAGGACATCCAAGCACTCCTCCCCTACTGTTTTTGAATACTATTCAGTCATAATACTTTGTTAACATAATGTTTTTAGGGGTTTTTAATCTTTTAGTGGATAAGACAGTGGCACTTACCCACTAGGCTATTGGCACTGACTACATATTAATTTGCATATTACTACATATTACAATTTTGATTGCACCACAAGTCTAAAAAACGACCGTCTTACCTCCTCCCATTGGTGGATGTATCTAATGAGCCTGGACAATCTCAACAACCGAAGCAGACTCAGTATTTTGGTGAAACGCACAATCCTCAACGCTCTTGCCGTCTTGTAGAAATCCGAGTCGATGCGTGTCTCCACAATGAGGAAGATGTAATCCACAGGGATGGAGGAGAGGAAATCCACGGCAAACCAGCTGCGCAAGTACCTGACCTTGATCTGCTGAGGGTCCAGGATGATTTCTGTACTGTCCTCTTTCACAATCCCCGTGCGGAAGTTCAGCACCAGGTCGACCAGGAAGAAGGTGTCGGAGACCACGTTAAACACTATCCAGGCGGGTGTGTGTTCGTCTTTGAAGAAGGTGATGCCCACGGGAATGATGATCAGGTTGCCCACCATTAGAAGAAGCATGATCAGGTCCCAGTAAAACCTGGAGGAAGAGATAAAGTGGATGCTTATTGTAGTTTTTAATGGCTTAAGGATGGAAGATTATGTATTGATCTTTGGAGGCATAAATGATTAGAGGGAATTAAAGACTTAAAAAAAAGATTTTAAGTATAGCAGAAGATTTTTAAGAGCAGATCATTTTATTTGCAGAAACAAAATGTTCATTCAGGGCATTTAAGTCCAAATACATGCACTACAGATGCATTTGGTAAGCTAAAATTGCCCCATAGTGTATGTGTGAATGGGAGTGTATGGATGTCTCCCATTGTTGGGTTGCAGCTAAAAGGACATTCACTTATTAAAACATATGCTGGATAAGTTGGCGGTTCATTTCGCTGTGGCGGCCCCTGATGAATAAAGGGACTAAAAGAAAGAAAAGAACATTCATTGATTCGTTTTCCTTCAGCAACTATTCAGCCATTTGTTTTACACAGCTGATGCCCTTCCAGCTGCAACTTAGTACTGGGAAAGACCTATACACTCTCACATTCACACACACTACGGCCAATTTAGCTTATTCAATAAACCTATAGTGCCTGTCTTTGGACTGTGGGGGAAACTGGAGAACCCAGAGAAACCTACGCCAAAGAAGCAAAAGTAATACTGAAAATTAGTAATAATCAGTAATAATTAACAAGAATTAATAATAAAAATGATCAATATTAGCATTAAAATAAAAATAAAACAATTAAAACTAGTTTGTTTGTATAACATATTTAATTACATAAAATATTACAACATTTTTACAGTTGTTAATAATATTTGTGTTCATTGGTGATAATAATAATTGTTTTGTAAAAAAGAACTAAAAATATGTTAAATAATTGTAACACTTTACTTGAAGAGGTGTTCATAAGATCATAAAACCTTTATAATAATGAATGTCATCATGAATATGAATGAGATTTTGTGCATGCTTTTCTATAACAAACAATGTCATCTTTGCATTTAAAATGACATAATTGACCAAATAACAGTTGTCATAGGAATGAATCTCATTCACATTCATGTCATGTCATGATTATATGATCATATCGCTGTCAAACATTGTCCCATTTGGGGGGGGGGGGGGGGGGGGGGTTATGCTGTTGTGTTTTTGTACTGTCGTTGTATCTGCACTGTCTGTATTTTGCACAGTCTGGAGCCAGCACCTAAGCTTTTCACTCATAGCACATGTGCTGCTGATGTGACAATAAAAGTGTTTTGATTTGATTCATGAACATCTCCTTCAAGTTAAATGTTACCAAATAAACTTGAACGAAAAATGAAAATGTGGCACTTTCAGCAGTTAATTTAAAATGATTACAAATGAAATAACGTTACAGTGCTGAGCATATATAAGTACACCCCTCACAAATCTCTTTTATTTAATATTTGTAATAGGAAGCTATATAATATTGTTTTTGTGCATATAAATTACTAAAGTCAAATCTGGGGCTTATCTAACAAATTAACTTACGATAATGGTCCAAAAACTAGTACAACCAAATTTATATGGTGTAAAAATATATTGAATACAAAATTTAGGCAAAAGCAAGATAATGGAAAAATTTAGTTGAATATTTTGCTTGAATTTAATTGGATTATCTTTCAATTTCTAAAGATGTTTGGTGACTAAAATATTACTTTAAATATATATATCTGTTCAATAAATCTGTATTGTTTAAATGCACCAAAATACATTGCCTATATACACTGAGAAATTGATCATAATATTCATTTTCAAAATGGGGTGTAGTCAATTGTGCTGAGCACTGTATATAAAATATTTAAAGAAAACTACAAAAGTGACAGCAGAATGGCTACAGCTTAACCAAAAATAAAACAAAATAGAAAACTGATCATTTATTAATAAATATATGTTCACATTATAATAAATAAATAAATATAATGATACATACAGAATCAGTATATGTTAATCACAGAAATGTGTCACAAAAAGAAGAACTTTACTTTAAACAGCAAACTTTATACTTCGATATGCTCATAAATCGTGTTTTAAATCTTGGTTTGTGTGTAGGATGATAAACAATCTGCTGTATTTTAAACCGATCCCACGCAGAACTGGAAAGCTAAACTGATGCGCTGGCTACACCAAGGTCATCATGAGTTCAATTTACACGGAAAATAACTGATAAGATACAAGCCTTTAAAACTCTGTTAAACATCTGCCATCATTTCTTAAAATAACTGTAGCATGAAACACTATTATAAAGATTTTTATATAAAAAATTATTATAAATATCTATAAAAAAAGTGACCTTTTTATTTAGGAATTGTGAAGTGAAACCTGAGTTTTTGTCTTATTATTGCGATTTTGTGTCTCATAAAATTGCTTTATATTTCTCAAAAGTATCTCTATACCTCGAAAGACGTCATATTTGCCAGTTTCCTTTCCATAATTGCCAGTTTTCCTTTCCAAAAACTAATATTTAATAATGTGGATTTGTCTCCCGCGATTTAACTTTCTATCTTTCAACTGCAGCTTTGCATTACACAATTTTGACTTTTTATCTAGCTTTTTATCTAGCAATAGCTTTTAGAAAGCCCTACATCTCTCTTACGTTTCATGAAGTGACTCCATATTTTGCTATTGTGACTTAGCTTTTATTATAAATATTGAACCAGAAAGGTCAAGGGTTCAAGTCCCAGGGCATAACTGATAAGACTCAAGCCTTAAAAGCACTGATAAACGCAAATACAATCATCTGCAGTCATTTCCTCAAAATAAGTATTACGATGTCAGTAATCACAAACAGTAATCTAAAACCCGTCCTCAGGATTCCTGGTGAAGGCTTCATGAGCTCAGGCCCCCAGACCAATGCTGGAAATGGCTGGCTGTCTGGCTATTACTTCTTGTTTATGGATGAGTTCCCTGTTTGGTAATTGGATGTGTCGTATGTATGTAAATGAAAGGGGCTGGAAGGCATCCAGGAGACCTCTGGCAACACCGCCATTTCATCAATAAAGGATCTGCTGGGTGAGACGTTTACACAAAAACAAGCCGCCATAATTGCTGAACGCCGCATAAATTACCCCATTGGCCTCGCCAAGCCAAAATGAGCCTTTTCTGGTTGTGTGAAACATTGAGTAATGCTACTAATATTTCATGGTACTTAACGGTATTTGTCTGACTCTTCCCCCAGTGTGCTAATAATTGTTTACATTTTTGAGAGACACTCTCTGGCCTTTTTATTAGGTACACCTTGATAGTATTATTTAGACCCTTGTTTTGACATCAGAACTGCTTGAATTCCATATGATTTAAGGCTCTGGTATACTTCAAATGAAGGTCTTTTTTTGTTTTTCATTGGAGGGCAAAATGAAGCGGATGGATTGTAGTTTATGTAATGTGTAATTATGTATCGCATTTATAGTGTATAGCCGTACACCCAAAGCACTTCACAATCATGACAGAGGTCTCTCTCTATCCCCAGTGTACAGCATCCACTTGGATGATGCGACTGCAGCCACAGGACAATGGCAGCAGTGCATTCCCCACACACCAGCTATAGGGGAACTGGAGAAACAGTGATAGAGCCAATTCGGTGAATAATTAGGAGGCCATGATGTGTAAGGGCCAATCATGGAGGGAATTTGGCCAGGACACTGAGGTTACACCCCCACTCTTTATGAGAAGAAGGATTTTTAATGACCACAGAGAGTCAGGACCACTGTTTAACTTCTCATCTGAAAGACGATGCTCATTGACCGTATAGTGTCCCCTTCACTATACTGGGGCATTAGGACTCATACCAAAGGTTGAGCACACTCTGATGGCCTCACTACTTTAGCAACCTAGTTTTCCCATGTGGTCTCCCATCCAGGTACTGACCAGGCTCAGCTCTGCTTAGCTTTGCTTAGCTTCAGTAAGTAACTGGTCCTGGGCTGCAGGTCAATATGGCTGTTGATATGGCTTTACTGTTTTCAGAAACTCCACCAACCTATGATGTACTCTCTAAACACAATTTTCTTTTTTTTTTGATAAAAATATGGCAAACAACCTTCTCCAGTAAGTTGCTAACCTGACAAGATGTACCTCTATGGAGCGCCATATCTTTATTTTGTTATATATTTGCCCTATACAGACACTGGTATCAACAATGTGTACACGGTAACAAAAATGACACGGTGCAAATGACACCATGGTTTTGGCAATCTGTTTCGAAATGCCAAAACAAACTCAAAATGAAATCAAATTCAGTTCATTCTTTCATTTTAAATCTACTGGGGGATTTATTTTTGGCGCTGTTTGATTTATGTAGTGTGTTGTGAGGATTTGTAACCAACAACTGGGCATGAGGATGCACGTTTTAATCGTTTCATCTCATGTCATGTGTCGTAGAGCTCAACAACCAATTATATGTCTGCAAAGCTTCACAACATTCAACAGAAACTCTACCATGTTTTTATTTTTTTCTATTGTGATGTTGATCAGTAGGAACACAGAATCTCTTTCATTCACAGATTTTAAAGAGACCCTATAATGAAAATCATCCTTTGGAATCTGTTTGGACTGACCTACGTGTAGGTAAAGTGTGCACAAAGTCAAGACAATAAGTCAATTTTTTTTTTTTCATTTCCTGACATTACAATAGGATTAAAATCCTTCCCACCGCAACTTGACGTAGGAGTGCAGTTTCTCCACCCACCAAATTGATTAACATGTCTCCGTAGTAACGCGTATAATCATATCAACAAGACACGATGTGCGCAAAGCTATCAGGATTAAAAGATCTGTCCAGCTCTCTTATCATTCATCATCAAATGTGAGTGTGAATAAGTGAAAAATGTTTTTAAAACAGTGCATTTTATCATCTTTATCACCACAGCCGCATGTCAGTACAATTATAAAAGAAGACGCTTCAATCCCCGTTTGTGAGAATAAATGAGTTTTACAAGTTTTAAAACAGTGCATGTTTGTAATGAAATACAGTGATTTTACCGTCTTTACTTTATCACCCCAGCTGCATGTCCGTACAA